TTAGCTATTCGGCATAGACGCGGTAAATTATACAAAACATTCTGACGATATCGAATTTTTTTTTTTCGTTTTGATTTTACGCACTGTTTATACCGATTAGTTCAATTACCCGTCGCGTAAACACTCGACAATTTCAACGCGACGAGGTATGTTCCCACGACGGGTGCTTTTTCGCGTTGATTAAAAGAAAAATAAAACGTTGAAGTTGGGACGGTTAACTGGATACTGAGGGGAATCTAATTCATATCCGTACGCAACGATCGCTAACGAAAAACGATTCGGAGCGAAGTTTCTTTTACACGCGAGTATACGTATATTTCCCTACGTTTTTCCACGGTGCTTCCCGATCACGGTGAAAACAACGAGGAAAACCACCTCTGCTCTATAATATACCAACTGTATACTGATTTTTCGGAAACCGTGCTACGCTACGGATACGTCGGAGCGAGGTTTCTGGTAGAACCGTAGTCGCTCGCAGAAAGAACGAGAGATAAACGAATGACGCAAATTCAATGTATTGTAAAACCGATAATGCATTTGCCGTTTCGCTCAGAATCTAAAAACTGTCGGTACGGTCACGGCGGTTTCGTTGGCGCGTGTGTTTCTACCTATTGCGTAGAAACGTCCGTCGTCCGGACGCGCGTTTTGACGGTGTTCCGTTCGTACCTACGCGTGCCGCGCGCCGAGAGCCGTTTCGAAATTCCCCGTTTCCCTGCCGCCGCGATGGGTGGGCGCAGGACGGCGAACCCGCGGCGTACGGAATCCCGCGGCGGCGGTCGTCGGACTGCCCCCGTCGCCGGCCGCCGCGCGTATTACGAAACCTCCTTGTGATAATATATTATTCCTACGTGTATACGTCGCCGAACAACTAAGATGGCCGCCGTCGCGATTCGAGAGCTCCCCCTCGCGCGGCCGTCTCGTACACGTGCGCACTGCGTCGCGGCCACAGCGTTATTAATAAATACGGCGCGCGGCGCGGCCGATCGTCAATCCGTTTCTCCGCGGCCGACGAGTATAATTATTTTCACGGGGGAAACAAAAAAAAAACACAGACCCAACAAAGAGTCGCTCGCGGAGTTTAACAGACCGTAATGATTAAATTGATACGACGCAATGGCCACGCGCGAGTAATAATTCTACGCTCGCGATGCCCGTACTGCGAGCGTATCTGCACAACGCTGCGGCGGCGGAAAAATCTCCCGAGCGGAAAGGAGAAAAAAACAATTAAGATCGCCCGTAGGATTATCGCGGATACGGACATCGCGTCGGTCGTGTTAACAGCTTTTCAGTGGGTTTCGCAAAATGAAACTGATCGATGATCGCGCTCGAGTGTACCGCGACAATGTCCGTTACGCACATCGCGACGCGGCCCGTCGTCGGCCGATTACGCACACCGTTCGAAACGCGTACGGCGCCGGTAGTTTCCGCGACCGTCCCGTCTGACCCGCGCGCGCGTCCCGCGGCATTCAACCCGACGGTCGTTCGGTGACGGCGATTTCGAAATAATAACGCGATAACAGTGCGCGCCGCGAATACGCCCGGACGGCACACGTTCTCCGGGGGTCCGCAGTGCCGTAGGAACCGTAGGGAACTCGTCGGGCGCTATCCGCGTAAAACGTCCGTACAAACGGTTCGCCGTCACGGTTCCGTGACAGGAAAAAAATTTACCTACGAAACCGGGGTCGAGCGTGACGTCCGAGTGCCGTTACCGTGACCCGCGAGTCCGCCGTGTACGGGAACACGAATACGTTTCTCGACGATAATGTCTAGTCTAATATGGAAACGACGACGTTTCCTTTGTGGTTCTTTCTGTTGTCGTTCGACGGGGGTGTTTTTTCCGCGCGCGCGATCGCGAGACGTTTCCGCCGGTCACGCGTCCGCCGACGGAAACGTCTCCGCGCCCGATAGCGCGGCGCACTGCCGGCGGGGTTCGTGTGCGGTTTTTTCGACCCCGTGTGCGCCGCGCGACTACCGCCTATCGCCCGTCGCACGTACAATATCGAATTGTTGTCTATGCGTAGACGAGAGGGAAAAAAACAAAAAAAAAAAAACCGCCGTATATCCGCGCGTTAACGTCGCACGTAAACCATAATATTATCTATCTATGTGTATGCATGTCATTTTTATTGCGTTACGGGGCCGGTATGTGCGCGATAGTTAATTGCGGGGTTATGATTTACGGCGTATTTCGTTACGTGGGTGGGTCGCGGGGGAAACGTGGAGATGTCGTTACGGCGGCGCGCCGCAACACGCGCATGCGTACGGCGCGCGCGAGAGCAACCGGCTCGAACGCGGGTTTCAATTAATTCGATTTTTCATATATTTATATATTTATTTTCTTTTTTTTCTATACGGCCGTCAATAGACGAACAAAATACGTTTCGTTAACGTTCTATAAGTTACACCGTAATAACGTTACGCCGCCGCTAAACCGCGTGCGCACAAACGATACACGCGTTTCGCAAATCGGATAAATAAACCGTGATGATATTTAATTTTTATTTTTCTCGTCGTTTTCGTATCGTTCGGCTGGAAACGATACGCGCGCGAAACAGCGGTTTTGCACGGCCCGCGGACGCCGCGTTGCGCATTTGCGTACCCGCCGCATTCCGATACCGCGGGCCGTCGCTCTGAAACCGATCTTTCAATACCGTTTACCGGAAGACGTTCCCGAAATGACGGCGTCGTTCGCATAATGTACCGCAATGCGTACGGCGACGGTCGGACGAATTCCCGCGTTCCCGGATCTACCGCCGACCCTCGCCGAAATACCCATTGTGCACACGCGGTATATCTGCAAGGACTGACGGACCGCGGATCTTCCCTGCGACGGCGCGCACGCCGGGTGTGCACCGCGGCGGTATGCGGACGGTCAGGCACGCGCTGCCCGTGCGGTACGCCGGCGTCGCACGATATTTACGCGGGTACGAGGAACGCGACGTTTTCGATTCCCGCGGTGCCGTTGTCGCGCTGTACGCCGATAAACCGACTCAAAAACCGTTTGTTTTGTTTTATTTCGCCTTCTTCCGCGTCGAACGCATCGCCGGCGCCTTTATTATCGCGCCCGTACGATCGCGGGAAATCTCCGTGGTTCGCCGCGCGCGATAGTACCGAATGACCCGGGGTGGGTACGGGATAACAATAGACCGCGCGAATACGGCCCGGACGTCCCGTGTTTCGCGCACAGTTTTCGCGGTACCCGTACGGCCTTTTCGTTTCGTTTTCTCCTGACGAAACCCCCGAACACAATAAACCGACTGCGCGCCGTCGAGCGGTTATTGTTTCCCGCGCCGCGTGACGCGTCATAATATTTTCGCCGGACGCGTGATTTACAGGCCCCCGTGGCCGTACGCGGGCGCGCGCGTCGCGCGCTGTCGTTTCGTTGTCACAGGAACGCGCGGCGTTTTCCGCGGACAATACGCGCGGAGGACAATGACGGTTTTTTTCCCTTTTTTTTTTGTTTTTTTCCCCGACGGTATATTATTCGCGGATGGTTTCATCAATGGCATCGCCGTTTTCGCATTCTGCGCGTTCGGTCGTCCGAGACGGGCATCGGCCGCCCGGCACCGTACGCACAACGGCGGCACTATAACGTCCCGTCGTCCGTGCGGCCATTTTACGCGTGCGCGTACGCGCAGGTGCTGCCCGCCGAATTGACGACCGTGCGTACGTGTACACGCGGTCGCGTAACGCGGTTCGGAACACGCGGTTCGGTAGTCGCGCGAAATACCACGTCGGCGTACAGAAATTACGCGGCGACGTTTTATCCCCCGGGGGGGGGGGGGGGGGGGGGGGGGGGGGAGGGGAGGTGGGGGGCGGACGGAACCGCAATACCGCCGGCCGGAGCGTTTCGCCGGAGATTACCGTGCGCAATAACAATTTTCGGTTATTGTTTGTTATTTTTTCTCGTTAAAAACTTTTCCGGAACGAATCGATTTCGTATCGCGATATAGACGCCGGGAAACCACTCCCCGGTTCCGCGAGACGCCGGGAAAGCGGAAACACCGCTCCCCGGCTCTACGCGCGCACGTATTTGTGTACACGCACGCGCGCGTTGTACGGTCCTCGTCGACCGGCGCGGTGCGACGCGCTAAAAAACGCGTCGCCGTCGCGGGTTTCGCCGTCAGACACGACGGGATATCGGACGCGTTTTCGTAAGTCCGAAAGCAATAAAAAACGAAAAAAAACGTAGATTTTTATTTTTTATTTTCGTCCACTGCTCGAAACGACGCGCGGCGCGCGGGCGGGTATCGGAATCGTTCGAGTTGTTTCCTATACAACATATAATATACAAGCGCATTTGTATACGACGCCGTCTAGTCCGCCGCCGAGAATACATACGCGTGCGTGTAGCGCGTACAAGACCGCGGAGCCACGACAAAAAAAACAAAAAAAAAAAAAAACGTCCACTTTAGGAAACCCGGTGCACTGTACGCGAGTGGCGTGTGGTCTGGAAATATCACAATAAATTATAACGCGTCCGGCGCGCACGTACGCATGATAGAATTCCCATTGTCCGTGGTAGACGGTATTTTTAACCTTGAATTTTTTTTTCTTCTCCGCGGAGTAATGTTTTTTTATTATCGTCATTTTCGACGACAACGATTGTTTACGGAAGGGACGTGACCTCGGCGATGCAGCCCTTTTCGGATATTTATTATTCCGTGTATACGTGTGCACATGTAGGTTTATTATTCTTATTTTTTCGGTCACTTTCGTTTTTTTCTACCACGCCGTATTGCATTGTACTGTCGCGTTATGCAGTGTTATTTGTAGAGAAAAAAAAAAAAAAAACCCCATTTTCGAACGCGCACAATAATATTCGTTTAGGTATTTTTAACGTACGTACGCGACTCACTATATGCGCGGCCGATCGAACGTGTGATATTATTACGTTCGTTTTGAATTAAATTTCCATAGTATTAATATAATACGTAATTACAGTACGCGCCCCGTGTGTAATACACATTATATATATAAAATATATAAAATAAATAATTGACGATTTACATATTTTTTTAACTTATAGATTTATCGGGTACGCGTATTACAAACACAGTGCAGTATACCCGTATACCGTAAATTACCAACACGCGCGTTTCTCGTTGCGTTTATATGATAATTTTTCGTTTTTTTTTTTTGTATTTTTTTTTAATTTTGTGTATTCACGGTCCGGAATATTCAATTATAATACGAGTATATCTGTATGGAATAATATAGATATATAACTTTTTCGTTTTTTTTTTCTTTTTTTTTTTTTTTATTCACGGCCTTTATCGAAAATAAGCGTTTGCGTTTATTGATGGGAAAACGAGCGTAAATAATGACGTACAGCACCGACATTATTACGTGTTTGAATATTATGTTACATTGCATAACCCCGGGACTTGTTTGCTACGCGGGTGTTTATCGAGCTTAACGACGGATTATTATCGCGGTACGCGCCGAGTTTCGCGCTTCGTCGTATAATATCGTTTCCACCGCGGTATTACACGCGATTCTGCATAATGATCGTACAGGTGATACTATCGCTGCATGTCAGTATGATTTATCGTTTTGTTTTTTTTTTATTATGTTCGACTCGTATACGTGACGTTTTTTTTTTTATTTCCAACGGCCGTTTCGGTGCGCCGGCGTGAGATTTTCGCGCCGTTCTCTTTATGCGCGGCTAGTGTACGGGGATCCGCGTTCGACGGAATCGCACGTGTGCGGACGTATTAATGAACGATAAAAATAGCAATACAATACGTTTCGATAATCGTGAAGCAGCGCGGGCATAGTTCGAAAAACAATAAAATCTTCAAAGAAGAATATGTTGGACGAACGAAAAAAAAAAACCGCGCACAATTCTTATAATATTGTGTGAATAGAATATACATAAATAATGCAGAGATAATAGTATACCTACGTCGCATTGATGTGACAACCGACAATTATATACCGACAAACTATATAGTGGATCAGTTTACACATCACTATAATTGACATAATACACATCACCCTTGAATAGGTAAGTATATACATCGTAAACGGTATAATCGCCAATGATCAGTGACGGATCCGAGCGGGGAGGCGATAGGCGCGATTGCTCGCCTTTTCGTCCTAGGTCTGACAGTTATGGGCTGGAGATGAGAAGCTGTAAAATGTAATGAAGTCGTCATAACACGTTCCGGACATATACAGTAAATATTATGTGGGATTGAAACCCCGACCGTCTCCATAGAAATATAAAAGAGGGCAAAGGCGTTTGAAATGCGCACGTGTTACAATATGGCGGACCGAGAGGATATTTTATTAACGGCATGAAGAAATGCTAAAACGATAATCGGAAAGAAGAACCATAGCTCATGTAAAAACGTGTGTTGTTCTTGTACATCGCCATAGGTCCCCTTAACATACAGTCTCGTTTTCGGTATTTTGTTTCGATTCGTTACTTTGCTTCTGATTTGAATGCGTGCGTATAAGATTGGATTTCCTCGAGCACGTCAATAAAAGTACAATCGATTTGCATTGTCAAACGTAACAGTTGTATTTGATCACGATTCAAATAGTACTCGATTCGCCGCCTTGATTTCTGTACGAGGCACTCAACTTACCGCGTCCGTTTTCGTAAGAGGTGCTCGGGAAAACGATAGGTCCGTTTCACGGATTGGCACGGTCCGCCAACGCTCGTCGGACGGACAATTGTACGGACAGCGTATTTTCGCGTACACGAACGGCGCGTACACTACGCGCCACGACAACACCGTGGATCGCGACCCGGGGCGGTCAACAAACGCGATAATATTACGTCGAAACACGTCCGTGACGGGGCCGACGGGGAAAAGCGCGCGTCATCTCGGCGCGGCCCTCGTGCACAAAAACGCACGGGTCGCCCGCACTGCGCGGCGTCCCCCGCGCGCGTTCATTTCCGTCCGTTTTTCCCGGCCGGCGGTTGTATTTGCCGCGGTGCCGTTGCCGCGCAAACAAAACCTTTTACCCGGCGACGCGTTTTCGCCATTGTTTAACATAATAATGTGTACACGCCGGGGAGAGAATAATGTAGTACGATAACGGCGTAGACACCTCGCAGTCCATCTCGCGGCGGCGCTCCGTCTTAAATATGTGCGTATACCCGGCAAAGGGCGTCCCTCGTTATTGCCGGCGAACCGACCGGGCGAATTATACGCGCGAAAAGCTCCGCACCTGCGGGGGATTTTCATTAAAATGCCGCCGTGAATGTATACGGACAGAACGAGGCGTAAAACGTTGTTTCACTGCTTATATCTGCTTATATATATATACGTGTACGTAAATAGTGATGCGGAGCTATGGAAATTGCGCATAATAAACCGGCGCGATGGCCGTATATACATATACATTTTTTAAAGCCGGAAATGCAAAAGCTTGTTCCGCGCGTGCGGCGCGGTTCAGACGAGTTAATAATTTTGCGCGCTGCTCCCCTGGCCGTCGTTAGCGCCGTCGAATCGAGCCGGGGAGATTTTCTCGTTTATATTTAGACGATGCACGGGTAAACGTGTACGCGTATAGACGCTATACGAGGGTACGGGGAAAAAAAAGAAAAGAAAAAAAAAAAAAAAACGGTCGAATTACTCGCGGCTGCGGCACTCTGTATATTATATAACATTTAATTAAAAACGATACGATAGTCGTGCGATAGTGTTTTTTTTTCCTCTTTTGTTTTTATTTGTTTTTGTTATTAATACAGTCATATTACTCGCTGCGACTATATACGCTGTTTGTAACGAGATTTTCTTTCCCGGCACCGAGATGCGTGCATCACAATAATATTCCGGTCTCAATCAGAATTTTATCAGAAGTCGGTTTTTGTTGTCGATTTAATACAATTTTCCACCTAACCATTTCCGTCTCCGCTTCAATCGTAATAAAAACAGATAACGAGTGTGGGGGAAACATAAATGCTTAGGTGGATGTGCGGAGTGACGAGAGAAGACACGATGCGGTTTCGATATTGGATAAAATAAAAAAAAAAATGGTTTTAGCGTGTATTGAAGAGAAAAATAACTTGGAGCATTTAAAATGGCAATGGAAACAAACGAAGTAGGCGAGAGAAGAAGAGGAAGACCGAAAAACAGGCGGTTTGATGCTATTGAGAATGATAATAGAACGGCCGGTGTATGCGAGGACGATGTGGGAAATCGGGTCAAGTGAAAGTTTAGGACAATGACGATTGATTTCTGTAAATAGTTGGGATGAAGACGAAGGAGGGAAAGAAGAAGAGGACATTGTATCAATATTGTGCATACCTCTACACTCTGCAGTTAAAGTTTATACTCGCACATTTACGATTAGTATCGTATAGAAACATCTTTGCGGTTAGCTGCAGTTACACGCTATAAACGAGATAGACAATTTCCTATTGGTTAATATCGGGTTTTATTGACGGAAAACCAAATCTGTACCAGTATCGCCGTGTAAAATGAACAGAAGGCTCAACAGAAAATAATTTTTGTTTAGAGATTTTTAATTAATTTAAAAATAAAATAGTGGTATACATTTTATATGTTTCATAGAAACAAACTTATGTACTAAACCGTATATTCTCGTTATCCGCGTTTTCGTGTACTGTACCTGTAAGTGACCGGAAGAAAACCGGTGCTATTTTATATTATAGAAATCTATTCTTTATAAAACAATTAACAAACGATAACTGTGTTATAATAATATATGTTACAATTATACAATTATACTACCTACTTTCTAAAAAAAAAAAAAAAAGGTATAATTAGATCATAAAAAACATGCATGTGATGAGTCCCCCCTAGAATGTACACTACTAACGCTGTGCATAATGTACGAAATGTCGTTTTCCTGTTTTCATTCGGGAAATGCAAATTCACATAAAAAAAAAAAAAACTTCGTCCATTCGCCAATTCGACTATTTTATCGTTTCGCTTACAAAACAACTCTAATTCCCGAATCTGAGCCCGTTTGGCCGGGAGAAAGCCGCTGGAAAAATGGGTGCCCACAGTTAGAAAAAAAAAAATGTCAATTCTATATATTATGTATTTGTATACAAGACAGAGTACGGACACAATATATATGTTTTGTTTTCGAGGAAAATTTGACGAAAAAAAAAAAAGAAGCGTATTGTACGCTTCATAATATTATTACGTGCACTTTTCGCGAAAAGAAACGCATACGCGAGATACGCTTCAGAGCGAATGACATTTCGACAAAAAAATAATAATATACATGTATAGGTATATAGGTATAACGTATAGCTGTATACACGCACGTATATATGTACGATAACTCGACGGTTTTGCCGGAGCGTACCGTAAAAGCTCGTAAAGTCCCGGATATCGTATCGTTTGCGGCTTTTTCAAATATTCATGGAACCGCGACGGCGCGTAAGCGACAATGTATATTATTTACGACTAACCTAGGGCTATTGTACATGCGTTTTGCGTGCGCGATGTCTGTCTATTTCTTAGACGGCAATTTATTTCGAAATGGCGTTCCGCGCGATAGGCGAGTTATTCGGGCCGCGAAACGCACGGCAGACACTTTCCAGCGCGCACACGCGTATATAAATATACACACACGCACGCACGCACACGCACACACTCATCGTCACTCATCGTCATGACGTCGGCGCAACGTTATAGTTTATTTACACACACGCGACGAGACGTGCAATATTCATCGGCATCTCGGCCCCGCTGAGAAATTGCACTGGGTACGCGCCGTGTTTATGTGCCGTGCCAGATGTGCCCGCGTTAATAATAATACGATAATACGATAATAGATGTTTCATGTCGGCTATTGCGCCGTCCGGTGCCGGACCGCGGGCCGCCCGTGAAACGATCGCGCGTGATCCAACGTCCGGGGGTCCGAACGGGCCTATTGACACGCTGATTAATATCGTTTTTTACGCGCGCAACGACCGCCGCGTCGCGTGCCGGTTCTGCACGGCCACTGTGTGCGAGCGCGCGCGCGCGCGGAACGAGAAAACGTCGCAAAACGCCGTGCGCCGTTCGCGAACGCAATTTTGTAGAGCGAAAACGAAAACGCCCGCAGTCGAACGACGCTGTTGTTTTGGATTCCGGGCAAACGCAGAACTATCGGTTTTACGGAGACGATGTGGTTTTCTCTTTTTTTTTTTTTTCCTTTCTCGGACGATCCTTTTACGGTTGGTGAAAACGCTCTGATTTTTCCGTGCCGCGGTCCTCGCGAGATACGGATTTTTCGCTCGACGGTACTCTGTTCGGCGCTTTTTTCCGAAATTCCAAATGATTTCTCTGAAAAATCGGGGGTTTTTTTTTTTCAGTTTTGAAAACGCTTATTTGTTTTAGTCAAGCGTTCCATGATGCGGAGTTCTGCCCGGCGGTACTTTGAAACGTTTATCGTCATTTTAAGTAGTTCTCTCCTAGATAGTTTTTTGTAGTTTGATTTTGACGAATTTCCCGGTCATATACATTGGCATAAAGGAAAAACCACGACTAACACCACTTCGCTCAAAGTCGTTTAATCGTTGCATACGATGTATAAACCAAATTCCCTAGTGTCTTTTCGAGGTAAATTAATTTAAAACGTATGGATAAACTATAGATTCCCAGTGTCTCTTACAATATACTTGCGTAAATTATAGTCTATCATTCATTAAATCACATATAAGTTTCTCTGCGACTATTATTCCTATAACCTATTTGTAACTTATCATCTAAATCGTTATTATTAGTAAAAACAATATTTAATGATAAATTTTCTTTTATATATAAGGCAACACAAATTATTATTTTCATTCATCTTGCGTTCTCTCAGTACAATATTGTTATTGCGTGGCTA